TATATGATGAAAATGTACGTTTTCCCATAGGAATTTGATGATTTTCGGCTCTTCGGCCCTTCTGAGGACTGTTCTTGGAGGCCTCTTGGGCCGTCTTGGAGGCCTCTTGGCTCGTCTTGGGGCCATCTTGGAAGGCTCGGATTGTCGGTTCAAGCTCCCCCTCTTGGGCCCCTCTTGGGGCCGTCTTGGGGCCCTCTTGGGCCGTCTTGGGGGCCTCTTGGGCCGTCTTGGCGCCCTCTTGGGCCGACTTGGGCGCCTCTTGGGGGCCTCTTGGGCCGTCTTGGGGCGGTCTTGGGGTGCTCTTGGCCCGTCTTCAACGCCGTAAAGGCCGACAAGTCGTACATGATGAAAATGTACGTTTTCCCATGGGAATTTGATGATTTTCGGCTCTTCGGCCCTTCTGAGGACTGTTCTTGGAGGCCTCTTGGGCCGTCTTGGAGGCCTCTTGGCTCGTCTTGGGGCCATCTTGTGCGTCTTGGAGCGCTCGTTTGGGCCGTCTTGGGGCGGAAGGTTCGGATTGTCGGTTCAAGCTCCCCCTCTTGGGCCCCTCTTGGGGCCGTCTTGGGGCCCTCTTGGGCCGTCTTGGGGGCCTCTTGGGCCGTCTTGGCGCCCTCTTGGGCCGACTTGGGCGCCTCTTGGGGGCCTCTTGGGCCGTCTTGGGGCGGTCTTGGGGTGCTCTTGGCCTGTCTTCAACGCCGTAAAGGCCGACAAGTCGTATATGATGAAAATGTACGTTTTCCCATAGGAATTCTTTACGCTTCGCGTATCCCCACCAGCCCATCTCACAGCAGCAACTCTCGCGAAACATGCCGACAGTCGTGTTTTTCAGGCGTGTGTCCGCTTGGCCCCGCATATCTCCCCTGTTCCTCCTTCCTCCCGCCTCCTTGTACATCCTCCTTGTGGGGGGAGCGGGAGAAGGACGAGGCGGAGGAGGAGGGAGAGAAAGCGCTCCTCGTGATTTGAGTCGTTTGGGGTTTCTCGTCCTGGTGTGAGTCGTTCGGGCCCTTCTTCCTGGTGTGAGTCGTTCGGGCTCTTCGTGGTGTGAGTCGTTCGGGCTCTTCGTCCTGGTGTGAGTCGTTCGGGCTTCTCGTGGTGTGAGTTGTTCGGGCCCCTCATCCTGGTGTGAGTCGTTCGGGCCCCTCCTCCTGGTGTGACTCGTTCGGGCTCCTCGTGGTGTGAGTCGTGAGTCGTGGGGCGTCGTCGTGGTGTGAGTCCTTCGGGCTCCTCGTGGTGTGAGTCGTTCGGGCGCCTCGTCCTGGTGTGAGTCGTTCGGGCCCCTCCTTGTGGTGTGAGTCGTTCGGGCTCTTCGTGGTGTGAGTCGTTCGGGCCCCTCGTCCTGGTGTGAGTCGTTCGGGCTCCTCGTGGGGCCTCTTGGGGGCCTCTTGGAGCCTCGTGGGGCCTCTTGGGGGCCTCTTGGGGGCCTCTTGGGGGCCTCTTGGGGCCTCGTGGGGCCTCTTGGGGGCCTCTTGGGGGCCTCTTGGGGGCCTCTTGGGGCCTCGTGGGGCCTCTTGGGGGCCTCTTGGGGGCCTCTTGGGGGCCTCTTGGGGCCGCTTGGGGGCCTCTGGGGGGCCTCCCAGAGGCCTCTTGGGAGCCTCCTGGGGGCCTCTTGGGCCCATCTTGAGGCCTCTTGCGACCTCCTCAGAAGCGCAAAGTAGAGCTGCCCCCCGAAGAAGGACAAAATGAGCCCAACACCTTCGTGATTTTGCTATGAGGGAAGATGAGCGCAGCCCCCTCAGAAGTCCAAAATGGGGCCAAAACCGTAGTAAAATCAATGATTTATGCTTCGAAGAGGAGTAGAGGCGCCAAACTCCCCCCCCCCCCTGGGGGCCAGAATCCTCGTGAGGGTCGTCGTTTTTTGGCCCTCCCAGGAGTCGAAAAAGACTCCCTTGATTACACTCGGGACGCCCTCTCCAGGTCCAGGGGAGGGGGTAGGGGGAGGGGTAAACCCCTCCCCGAAGGGGAAGATAGGGGGTTAGGGGGTTGAGAACAGAAAGAGCTCGCTAAACCACTCACGCCCAAAGGGCTGGTGGGATTTGATGATTTTCGGCTCTTCGGCCCTTCTGAGGACTGTTCTTGGAGGCCTCTTGGGCCGTCTTGGAGGCCTCTTGGCTCGTCTTGGGGCCATCTTCGGCGTCTTGGAGCGCTCGTTTGGCGTCTCGGGGCCCTCGTGGGCCGTCTGGGAGACGTCTTGGGGCCTTCTTGGCCCGTCTTGAGCCCCATGTGGGCCCAAAAGAGGCCCGTGAGTCGCTCGGCGTGGGCCCGGGGGGGGGGGGTCAAATCGCCGGTTTGGGGTCCCATGGGGGGGGACTATCGGGGGGGAGCTATCTCACACGCCTAAAGACCCACAAGGGGTCGGCGGATTATGAGGAGCAGGGGGAGGAGGAACAGGAAGGTATCAACTATCGGTGTGGTGGTATTGGTGATGATGATGATGATGATGATGATGATGATGATGATGATGATGATGATGATGATGGTGATGATGATGATGATGATGATGATGATGATGATGATGATGATGCTCAATATGATGACTATGATGTGGATGATGATTCAGATGTTGGTGGGGATGGTAGCGTTGATGTTGCTGACGATGGTGAGGATGATGGTAATAAGGAGTACAAAGACATGATGCTGGTGGTTGTGATGGTGTTGGTCAGTCTGATGATGATGATGACGACGATGATGATGAGATGATGATGATGATGATGATGATGATGATGATGATGATGATGATGATGATGATGATGATGATGATGATGATGATGATGACGCTGCTGCTGCTGCTGATGATGTTGATGACGATGCTGTTGATGGTGATGGTGGTGGTGATGCTGCTGATTATGAACATGATGAATGAGGTGGTGATCTTGGTTGTGATGACGGTGATTGTTGTGGTGATGTGTGATGGTGGTGTTGGTGCGATGCTGGTGATGGTGATGGTGATGGTGATGATGATGATGATGATGACGACATTGGCGACGGCGACGACGACGACGACAACGATGATGACGATGATGATGATGATGATGATGATGATGATGATGATGATGATGATGATGATGATGATGATGATGGTGTTGTTAATGATGCTGCTTATAATGATCATCACCGAGGGAGGACGAGGGGAGTAATGAGGGCCAGTAAGAGGAGGATGAGAAGGAGGAGGAGGAGGAGCAGGAGCAGAAGCAGGAGCAGGAGCAGAAGCAAGAGCAGGAGCAGGAGGGCGAGGATGAGCAGGATGTCGAGGAAGACGGAGCAGGAGGAGGAGAAGGAGGAGGAGGAGGAGGAGGAGCAGGAGAGCCGGATGTGGAGGAGTCTGCTTGCGTTGGGTTGTCCTAGTTCCCTGGCCGCTGCGCCCCCGGGTCCGCTGGCGCCCAGGAGCTCAAGGGCCGCCTCGACCAGGGCCTGTCGAAGGTGCTGTCGTCGTCGTCGTCGTCGTCGCCGTCGTCGTCCGTCTTCCGTCGTACGTCGCCCGTCGTTCGTCGTCAGTCGTCGTCGTCGTTGTCGTCGTCGTCGTTGTCGTTGTCGCCGTCGTCGTTGTCAGTCGTCGTCGCCGTCGTCGTTTTCGTCGTCGTCGTCGTCGTTGTCGTCGTCAGCCGTCGTCGTCGTCGTCAGTCGTCAGTCGTCGTTCTCGTCGTCAGTCGGTCGGTCGGTTGGTCTGTCGGTCTGTTGGTTGGTCGGTTGGTTGTTTGGTCGGTCCGTCGTCATCGTCGTCGTCGTCGTCGTCGTCGTCGACAGTCGGGTCAGACGAGAAGGGGTTGATTATGAGCGGGGGGGGGGGATTTCTTTTCAGGATAGTCTCGTATTCCAGGAGTATGAGTCAGTGCTATGTTGATTCCAGTGGGGAAGCGCTGGTCCCCAAGCGTTGCGTTTGGATTTCTGGAGCCTCTGCGGCCCACTGTGGCTCGAGCCATTTTGGCCACATAGACTGGCTCCAGTGAGCACGCGCGTGAAGATTTCGCACAGCGCTCGAGCCAGCGCGTGCGAGACAGCAAAGAGTGGCGGCACGTGACCGCAGTGATAAACCATCTCATCGTGATAGAGATCGACATCGGAACGTGCTAGCGAGCGTACGCTCCGAGACCCTTGGGCGTGCGCTCGACGAGCAGTGCCAATAGCCCAGCCGGATGGCGAATCCGCTGTGGTACCCAGGCTTAGTGGATATTCGATGCATCGGCAACCTCAGGCCACTTTCAAACCGTCATCAGGGGAAGAGGGAGAGTAGTATTCATATTGATTAATTGTGGAGGGAGGGGAGGGAGGGGAGGGAGGGGAGGGAGGGAGGGAGGAGGGAGGGGAGGGAGGGAGGGAGGGAGGGAGGGGGGGAGGGAGGAGGGAGGGAGGAGGGGAGGGAGGGAGGGAGGAAGGGAGGAGGAGGAGGATGAGGAGGAGGAGGAGGATTGGACGAAGAGGAGGATTGGACGAGGAGGAGGAGGAGGAGTATGAGCAGGAACAGTGGGAATAGGAGGAGGAGGAAGATGATGATGATGATGAAGATGATGATGATGATGATGATGATGATGATGATGATGATGATGCTGATGATACTGATGATACTGATGATGATGATGATGATGATGATGGTGATGGTGGTGGTGATGGTGATGGTGATGATGGTGATGATGATGATGAGGAGGAGGAGGAGGAGGAATATGAGGAGGAGGAGGATGAAGAGTAGGAGCAGGAGATGGAGGAGGAGGATGAGGAGGATGAGGATGAGGATGAGGATGAGGATGAGGATGAGGATGAGGATGAGGATGATGATGATGATGATGATGATGCTGATGATGATGATGATGATGATGATGATGATGATGATACTGATGATGATGATACTGATGATGATGATGATGACGATGATGATGATGATGATGATGATGGTGGTGATGATGATGAGGAGGAGGAGGAGGAATATGAGGAGAAGGAGGATGAGGAGTAGGAGCAGGAGAGGAGGAGGAGGAGGATGAGAGGATGAGGATGAGGATGAGATGAGGATGAGGATGAGGATGAGGATGATGATGATGATGATGATGATGATGATGATGATGATGATGATGATGATGATGATGATGATGATGATGATGATGATGATGATGATGATGATGATGATGATGATGATGATGATGATGCTGATGCTGATGCTGATGCTGATGATGATGATGATGATGATGATGATGATGAGGATGAGGATGAGGATGAGGATGAGGATGAGGATGATGATGATGATGATGATGATGATGATGATGATGATGATGATGATGATGATGATGATGATGATGATGATGATGATGATGAGGATGAGGATGAGGATGAGGATGAGGATGAGGATGAGGATGAGGATGAGGATGAGGAGGAGGAGGAGGAGGAGGAGGAGGAGGAAGTGAAATGGGGGGTGGAACGAGCTCTTGGAGAGGGGGCTTCCAGGGCAAGGTTTTTTTGATTACGGTCCATCACGTTTGCTTAGCGCGTCGCGCCGGTGGGTGGTTTTGGTCTAGCACGCGTTGGCGCCGCACGTTATGCACGCCCCTGTTTCCAGGCAGGGGCGTCCCATTCCTTTCCCAGCTTTCCGTCCCATGAAGCCTGGCGACGTGCCATCAGCTTGCGAGGCGCAGCGTGTCGCAAGGGCGGCCGCCGCGACCCATTAAGCAGAAAGTCCCCATCGTGAGGTTCGGACGCTGCTCAGGACTGCCCTCTCTCAGCGACCGCACGCGTTTCAACAAAGTTATGTTGGGTGTGCGCCCCAAGCATGGGGTACCAGCCGCACACCCACCCGTCCTTCTCTTTTCGCGGCTGAGCAGTGCTCCGTGCTTTCAGCCCTGCGTGGGCCCGCCACCCTGCCTGTGGATGCTGAAATTAGCTTGAGGCAGGTTCCATTTCGATCTGGTCGATCCGATGTTATGTTTTCTGTTTGTCAGCTTCGATCCGATTCGATTCCGATCTACCACCCATCCGATTCGGCTCGATGTTCGCATGTTGCTGTTGTGCATCCTGGCGCAGCCGATCCGATTCGATCTCGACTTCGTGCCGATGCGACCAGATCCGACGCGTATTCCGATTTCGATCCGATTTCCCGCTTCGGCACTGGCCGCTCCAGCCCTGAGGTTCCTTCTGCTTCTGCTACTCCCTCGCCCCCCTGCCCCACCCGCCGGGAGGCGCGGTCCTCGAGGGCCAGGCAGCAACGCCACATGGTGTGTTTCGTCTGCGACCCCGCCCGTCGCAGCCCGCCGCCGTCTGCCGCCGCCGCCGTGGTGTTCTTTGGAGTATGAAGGGAGGGTGGGAGGTAGGGGAGACGACGATGAGGATCATGACGACGACGACGACGACGACCATAATGATGATGATGATGATGATGATGATGATGATGATGATGATGATGATGATGATGATGATGATGATGATGATGATGATGATGATGATGATGATGATGATGATGATGCCGCTTCTGCTTGTGGGGATGATGATGTGGCTGATGGTGGTGGTGGCGATAATGATGATGATGATGATGATGATGATGATGATGATGATGATGATGATGATGATGATGATGATGATGATGAGATGATGATGACGATGATGATGATGATGATTATGATGATGATGATGATGATGATGATGATAATGAGGATGATGACGACGACGACGACGATGATGATGATGATGATGATGATTATGATGATGATGCTGTGCTGCTGATGATGATGATGATGATGATGATGATGATGATGATGATGATGGTGATGCTGCTGATGATGATGATGAGGATGAGGATGATGTTGATGATGATGATGCTGCTGCTGCTGATGATGATGAGGTTGATGATGATAATGATGATGACGACGATGATGATGATGATGATGATGATGATGATGATGATGATGATGATGATGATGATGATGATGATGATGATGATGATGATGATGATGATGATGATGATGATGATGATGATGATGATGATGATGATGATGATGGTGATGGTGATGGGCTAATATTTGTAGAGCACGAGTATTGATGTGGGACCTGGCAGTTTGAGGTGGGGTCGTGGAATTTTCTTGTCTGGAGCCTCGGGGCCCGTAGGGTCGTGCGGATTGTGGGCGACGTTCCCGGCCTAGTGCCCCCAGCCCCGCAAAACGGGAGGGCTCGGTGGCCTGCTTTGTGCTTGCCCCCGAAGGTGATTGCCCTCGCGTGTGCCGCACGGCCTGCTCCGCAATCGTATCATGGCTCCAATCGTCTCAGATTCTCGCGGGGATAGGGCGAGCGGCCCAACCCGCAGCAGCACCTCCTCTACCACCAGCGGGCAACCCTGCTGCGCGACTGCGACTACCAGACTGGTCACGGTTCGATGTGCAAATCAGTCTACAAAATCTACGAAGCCTTGACCCCAGCGTGGTAACCCGCGAGTTGCGGAAGCTACACTGGCGCTGGATCCATGCGAGAGAGCCCAAGATGATATTCATCTTAAGCAAGTTAGCTCTGGACAAAGTCAGGCTCAACCTGATTCAAGGTGTTTGCGACACATGTCGAGAGTGCAGAGCTTGGGACAAGCCTGGGCATGCTGTTATGTCCTGTACTGCACTACCTGGCAACTTTAATGAGGAAGTGGAATGTTATATGATGTTCTCCAAACAAGAACACAAGATCTTCCATATTATCGATCGCTGTATACGATATGCTACTGGGATTGAGCTGCCAGACAAGACGATGACAAGTATCCTGGATGCGTATCATCAGTGCTGGATGCAGTTTTGACCTGCAAAGGTATTTTACTCTGACGTAGAGGGTGCCCTTAACAACGACACTGCGAAAACATTCCTCAAGGCAAAAGGCGCTGAACTTAGGATGCGTGCGCGTGGGCAGCGCGCTACAACGATCGAGGCCAGAAATGGCATCCTACGCCATCTACTTCACGTCATGGAAGCTGAACTCAGCAGGCTGGATCTACCTCTTGTGTTCACCCGACTACTGCACGAGGCTGTGTTCGCCGCCAACGCGTTCACCTTTTATAGCGAGGTGTCACCTCCTAACGCTCTGTTTGGACGGCAACCAGCAATGTTCCCTGACCTACCTGTCCTGGACCGCGAGCAGCCGACGGAAAGGTCGGACCATTCTCGTGAGCAGACGATACGCAGGGTATGTATTGAAGCCATCACACAGGCCACAGCAGTAGCTAACACCAATTGCGCCTTACGCGCTACAACGACTATTACTGGTCAGCATTATTCTGATGAAGGAGACTTGGTCGATTCCCGTTCCCAGTGGTAAGGAATGATCCCGAAAAGGGTCAGGTCATCATCCGAGTGGGCAATCGAGATGTCATGTGCAATGCGGCGATGCAAGACATCCATTATACTTTGAAGCACTGATAGCCTGAGAGATTGGCTCCGACAACACTGCACTACGCACGGTGTTCACATTCGTAACCAGCCTATCGGCGGGGGGACCTGCTCTGACCTTTGGCTATGTGCCGACCAAGAAAGGGGCGCTTCAGATGACAACTGCAAGCCGTCCTATCTCCCAAGGTACGCTTAGCGTTACAGTGCCTTATCAGAAACTTCTTCCGTATTGAGGATGTAGTTCCAGTCAGGCTCGCCAAGAGCTCATGAGCTGCCTCCGGTTACTTATGCCGACAGCTGCGCATTGGTCCACTACAACAACGACGCGAATCCAGGATTCCATTATTATGAAGCATAAGGTACTGCTCTGAATATACACGATATAACTGGATCTGCACATTCGAGAATTATTCTACGCCTGAAGTCCACTAAACCTCAAGCAGGTTTTGATCGGGACTTGTCAAGATTTGAGGAATCGGCAGATGCACCGACGCCGGAGGGAACCGCAAGGGAAGCCTCATAAGCCGAACCACCGCATGATGATGGGCGGCTTTCTGCGATTTACGGAGAATCAGAGGCTGATCTCGAGTCGCATGTTACTGAAGTGTGGTACGCAGAACTACAAGAGGAAAAGGAACTGCTGGAGGCAACTCCACCAGAGTACCTCTTCTCCATATCTACACATATGGTTCCAGATTACAGTGTGCGGATCACTGTAGCTGATGAACAGCGGGGGCGCCTGCCGAAGTGGGGGCGCACTCGCGACTCCGATACCGAGGAGACGTACTACGTCCCAATGTGCACCATGGTCGAAGACGACAACTACGGACTGGATTCAGATGAAAATAGCCGATCTGTCGAGCTCTGTTCTACGATGGAAATGCCAGGGGTAGTTCTGTCCGGACAGCAGCATATGATACTAGATGCCGACCAGGTGACCGCTGTGCGAGTATATGTAACCGCCGCTGCAAAGCGAGCTGTGGTCGTCAAGGAAGACGACCTCCTCGCGAAAGCTGACGTCCAGGTGGATCCCGATGAAGTATCGAGGGCCCTCTACACTGAACTCAAGACATGGTTCGACAACAAGTGCTTTGATATTCAATACATAGCTAAAGCGTCCAACATCACGGCTTCGAGAATCGCGTGTAAATGGAAGTTCGTGAAGAACGAGAAGGGCGGAATGGAGCGTGCCATCGGATTGCACTTGGTTCTCCGAGGTCTCATGGACCTTGAAGCCTTCGACGTAGAAGCATTTCGGGAGCGGCGCGACGGTCGAGCCAGAGGCTACTCGCTAGCACGGCAGCGCGCAAGAAGCAATGGATCATTGCTTCCCTCGACATCGACATGGACTTCCTGAAGGGACTGACCTATCAGGAACTCGCTGAGGCTACTGGTGAAAAGGAATGTGTGGTGTGTTTCTACTCTGCCGCCTGGATCGGCCGCAGTGCTCCGAACTCTCCCAGGATTCGAGCACTACGATGAGTCAAAGCACCGCCTGCAGTGCTTGAAACCAGGCGCAGGCACCAAAGACGCACCGCGGGCTTCCTCACGAAAGCTCAGGAGGACCACCAGAGGTTTCGGTCTCCGACCCGCGTCCTACGACGAGGAGTTCGAGACGAGCAACATTTTGCTCACGGCCAAACATGTTGATGGCATCAATATGGCCGGTACTGAGGACGCCATTGACAAGTGTGTCAAGTGCGTAGAATATGCCTGAGGTAAGTGTAGACTCAACAAGCACACATGCACCAACTGTGCAGTGATATGCACCAAAGATGAGGACGGCAATGTCACGTTGGACCAATATGACTGCATCAAACAGCTCCGTCCTATACAACATCCTGAACTGACCGGCGCCGACGCTGACGCTCAGGCAACCAAGATGGTTGCAGACGTGTTCATCAGCCTCAGGGGTGCGCCGGCGTATGCGTGCGCTAATCACCCAGGTGTGGTTGATGATGTATGTTGTTTCTCGACAACGTGTCCAAGAACTGACCGGCATCCAAGTGCCGCGACTGAGCGCGATCGCCTGGGAGCTACAGGCCTGCCCATGGAAGATCGTCTACCAGGCCATGAATCCTACGGGCGAGGTCGACCTGCGTAGCGACTCAGGATGCCGACGCCTGAGTGAAGACGCCGACGACGACGTCAGCGGCTATGTTATTCGCGGGGCAAGCCTGCTACGACGTGGAACACGTCATCCGGCAAGTTTGTCGCTCACTTGATTGATGCGTACTGAAGTCTCATCGCTTGCAGGTCCGCTCGAGCTATTCAGCAGAGACGCTAGCAGCAGCCTGTGCTGTGGAGGACTGTTCTCCCACGATTGTGATTCTGCACAAGCTCCACGCAGGGCCGCTTACGCCCGCCCAGTTGAAAACTATACTTGAGTTGGGTGGCCTGAGCATCAAGGTCACCTTGGCAATGGATGCTGAGTCTGTCTTTAAGTCTTTGTCAAGCAAAGACTTGAAGAAGCCGACTGAGTGTACCCCTTTATGACACATCAGTTGGATGCGAGAGATGATGGAGCGTGGAATCGTGCGCAGCATCCAGTGGTGCGACACCCGCGATATGACTGCGGATGGTCACACCAAGGGGAGCATCGACAGAGAAATGCTCCTACAAGGCATGGGAGGTATACAGGCCTTCAAGCATGACCTGAATAGACATACTCCATATCGGGCCGGCCAGACATCAAGATCTGACGCCGCCTAATGAGTGCGTCAAGTACAGATCTGTAGGAGCGAGGCAACTTGCGAGCGGGTCCACCGTCCTTTTGGCCCGCTTTCTCTTCTGTCTTTGCGTGCATTAGCTGCTGTGCCTGCTGTATGGGGCGACGGGCTCACGCTTCGTCTCCGCCCCCCCCGATTCTAAAGCGAGCTGAGGGACGTGAGTAGTGCGAGCGAGCGTGCGCCCGCGGCCGCGTCGGCTTAAGCGGCCGGCCGCTCAAATATGACTGTGCCTCATTGCGAGGCGCACAATCGCTATCGAGACCAAAAGGATCTTCCTACTGTTTAAGATGGCACATCCTCTCCTAGTGGGACTACGTTGCTACAGTACAACAGAGCTGGAGCTTGGCTTCGCCTAAGGCGAAGCTGCTGGCTGGGCCTCCCAGCCACCTTCAAACTCTATAGTCCTAGTAGCCCTAATAGCCCTATACCCCATAAAGCCCAAGAGCCCTGTAGCCCTATATCCCTATAGCCTTATTGTCCTATAACCCTATAGCCCTATGGTCCTATAGCCCTGTAGCCGCATAGCCCTATAGCCCTATAGCCCCATAGCCCTATAGCCCCATAGCCTTATAGCCTTAAAGCCCATAACCCCATAACCTGATTGCGCTATAGCCCTATAGCCCTATATTCCTATAGCTCCTTAGCCCTAGATCCCTAAACACATTTGTTCCCAAGTATCTATCATTTATCTTGATGCTGATGCTGCTGACGATGACAACGATGGTGCATCATATGAAAATGACTGTGATACTGCTTATGACGACGACGATGATGATGAGGATGCTGATGCTGATGGTGATTGCGATGCTGATGATGATGCGGATGTTGCTGCTGATGATTATGGTGGTGGTGGTGTCGGTGATGACGATGATGACGATTATGATACTGATGCTGATGACGATGATCATGATTATGGTGGTGATGACGATGATGATGACGCTGAGGATGATGACGCTGATGATGATGCCGATTATGACGATGATGACGATTATGGTGATGCTGATGTTTTGACGATGATGATGGTGATGCTGCCGCTGCTGTTGCTGATAGTGACGATGCTGATGATGGTGGTGGTGATGATGATCATGATGACGATACTGATCATAATGACGGTTTTGATGATGATGAGGATGATGATGATGATGATGACGATGATTATGATGATGCTGGTGATTCTGCTGCTGGGTATGATGATGATGAGGATGATGATGCTGATGATGACGATGATGCTGATGATGATGATGATGCTGATGCTGATGCTGATGATGTTGATGCTGGTCATGGTAGTGATGCTGATGACGACGACGATGATGATGATGATGATGATGATGATGATGATGATGATGATGATGATGATGCTGATGATGATGATGATGATGATGATGAGGATGATGATGATGATGATGATGATGATGATGATGATGATGAGGATGATGGTGATGATGATGCTGCTGCTGCTGATGATGATGATGATGATGATGATGATGATGATGATGATGATGATGATGATGTCGATGGCCCTCTTGGGCCGTTTTGGGGCTCTTCAGGGGCTCTGGGGCCGTCTTTGGGCAATCTTGGGGGCCGTCCTGGAGCGTCGGGAAGCCGAAAAGGCGAGAACGCCAAACACATTCAAACGCCTTTCTCGACCATCAAGTATTTTGGCCTCATGTGCCGTTTTTTGGGGGCCTCTTGGGGGCCTATTGCGGCGTCTTGGGGGTCTCTTTGGCCGTCTGGGGGCCATCTTGGACGTCTTGGAAAGATCGTTCTGCGACTCGGGGCCCTCTTGAACCGTCGTCGGACCCTCTCGGAGTCCTCTTGGTCCGTCCTGGCCCAGAACTCAGGGGGACCGCCGCACGCCCAAGAAAACTTGTAGGAAAGACTGTGGTTCAGGGGACCAGCCATAATACCTGCGGACACGCTCACTCCGAGCCCAGCGGTGCGGTGGCGGATCTGGGGCCTAATTCTGCCAATTAGCGTTTTCATTTTCTAGACACAAGCGTGTAAGCATTGGGTGTCGCTACATGCGTATACGTACACATTTACATAAATATGTACACATGCATACACACATACTCATACATATACATATGCACAAACATGTACATACACGTATACATATACGTAACCGTAGTCATACCCATACACGTGTGAGTGCGCGCGTACAATCACGTACGCACGCATGCACGTATACATTTGCGCGTGCATTCCCATACATCTACATATGCAGTTACACTTGCACGCGCACATGTGCATATACATTTGCATACATATGCATACACATAGGCATATGCATGGATATTTGCGTATGCGTATACATCTGCATATATACACATACATGCACATACACACATGCATATCCATATACACGCACGTAGACATACACGTAACTATATCCATCAACACACATATATACATACACGCGTATACGTAACCATACGCACATGAATACACACACATATACATATATATATATATATATATATATATATATATATATATATATTCTTCAACACATACACACAACTACTCACATACACTCATACACACACATTCATGTACACATACACATACGTTTGCACATGCGTTCACATCTGCACATCTATATGCATATACATAGTTGTTTATGTACACATACATAGACATTCACACATACACACATACACATACACATAACCGCATACAGTTACACATACACGTACATGTACGCATACACATATATGCACTTAAACATGTATACGTACATGTTTACATATACATGTACATATACATATACATGCGCATCTGCATATACCATATACACATTCACATTGACATATACATTTGCTTGCGTATATATGCACTATGCATATGCAGATGTATACGTATGTATATATATGCATATACATATACATGTGCGTTTACATAACATATACAATCGTACACCCTCACATATCCATATCATATGCTCTCACATTTCTTTAACTGTACACACGTACGCTTACATATGTAAATACGTACACGTATAATTACATGTACGCGTACATGTACGCGTATACATCAGTACATGCGTGTATATTTAGGCACGTACATCTGCACACATTTGGGCTGGACGCGCCTAGAGACAACGTGGCCGTTGCGTCTGGCGCAGTGCAAGGTCGGAGAACGCGTCCATCCGTCGACGCTACGTTCTTGTGTAGGGGCAGGTCCCTCATGGCACTCCCAATCCTATCAGGAAGATCGAGCAGGGGACGGAAAGTACGAGGGTCGTCCTCGCCGACATTGGCGCGTAAGCTGCTCGCGTGAGGTCGCGCGTGAACGCCCTCGTCTCCAATGTAGCGTGCCGCGCTGGCGGCCCGCGTAAGCCGCCGCGCAAGGTTGCTGTGCCATCTCGCGGAAGACCCCTTTTGATCGTCGCTCACATGGGGACGGACAGTGTGGAGGCGGAGACTGGCAGCAATTCCTGCCCGCTTTGGAGAGGATTCGCTGTCGGTTTCGCAGCGGGTGTGGTCCATCCTTGGACGAGCGTCGCCTGCACTGCAGCGGCCGGACAATGATTGCTGCTGGGCATTGTACCTACCTATTTTTTCGTACCTAGCTTGTTGGTGCCACTCCTCCCTCCCTCCTCCCTCCTCCGTGCCTAGCTTGGGGGGAGCCGGGTGGAGGCTCGATGGCCGACCTTGTGGTCACGTCGGTCTGGTTTGGCGCGTCGCCCTGGACTCTCCACTGGTGCCTGCAGCACGAGCGAGCGCGCATGCGAGCGCGCATGCGCCGACTTATGCACTGGCCATCTTGTGCCTCGTTCCCTATCCCGCCATCAAAGCCTTCATCCTTCCGTGCACCCCTGCCTACTCTGCTCTGTTTCTTTGCCTTCCTTTCCGCGCCATATCCTGACCGATGCTTCCTGCGACGCTCCCCTGCCACCACTTGCAGTAGGCAGGAATTTGGAACGCGAGAAGCTAATTAGGTACCTTGAGGTAAGTCGTGGAGGAGGACTGATGCGGAGAGGGGGGCAAGGCGTGTCTGGGAGGGAAAGAGAGAGAGAGAGAGAGAGAAACATGGAGACAACAAGCATGGGGGATAAAGAGAGAGAGAGAGAGAGAGAGAGAAAAAGAGAGGGAGAGGGATAGCGCATCTGTCTGGTCTGATCGGTTCCTGAGTCTGTTCTGATCGGTCCTTCAGTTGTTCAGTCTGGTCTGGGGTCCGTTTGGACCGTTCGTGTGGCCGTCTTGGAGTCCTCGTGAGGCGATGACCATGGACCGTCTTCAGTGATTTTCTATAGCTTGTTGCTTTTGTTTTTGCTTCGCATGGTCTCTCCCAGGGGAGCGCCCGCATTTAAGGAGTTTCGTGATCTCTTTTGGGGCCTCTGGTTGACATCTTGGAGAGATGTGTGTGTGTGCTCAGAGCAGGACAAGGTACTCGTCTGCGCGGCTGAAATCGCCTCGAGATCCTAGTCAGACTGCACCCTCGGAGAGATTCTGGGAGTCGCGGTATCGGTGTTTTGCCTTTTCCCCATTTTTGGGCTTTTGTTGACCGGTCTGGTCGGATCTGGAGGCCGTTTGGGCTCTCTTCAGGCGGGGGGGCGCGAATTTTTTATCCGGGGTCGCATCGATGGGGGGAGGGATCTACCAGACGGCCAGCAGGCATGACCGAAAGAGCGAGGCACGAGTGATGACGTTTTGATGGGGCGAAGCCCCAAAAGGGAGGAAGGTCCAGGAGGGGTGGGGGGGGTCGCAAAGCGCTGGCACATCCGGGTAACAGGCGCCCCCCCTCCTCGAGACGGCCCATGTTGATGGGCCGATCTTCCACTGCCGCTACCATTTGTAGGAGAGGCGGCGGAGGAGGAGGAGGAGGATTAGGAGGGGGAGGAGGATCCAAGAGCGAACAGTGACGTAAGTAAATCTTAGTTCCCTGGCTCCCAAGAGCGAACGGTGACGTAACCAACTCTTAACTCCGAGGCTCCCGAGAGCGAGCGGTGACGTCAGCAACTCATGAATCCGAGGCTTCCAACAGCGAGCGGTGGCGTAAAAGGCTCTTGATGCCAAGGCCCCCGAGATAGAGCGATGACGTGACAATTCCTTCTCCACAAGGCTCCCACGGGCGAGCGGTGACGCGAGCCCTCTCAGGCAAGTTCCTGAAGTGCTCTTTCCGTTCCCGTGCCGGCCTAGGTTTCTAACACGCCCAGGCGTGCTGACAGCACAGTGGCAGAGTTACAGAGGAGGGGCAAGACGAGAAGGGGCGTGGGAACAGGACGGAGAGGGAGAGAAAGAGAGCCACACCATGACGAACGTAGATTGGGATGCTTTCGAAGTGACTCCCCGGCTGTCGCAGCTCTGGAGGGCCAGGCCTACTCCTTGTGATCATCACCTTGAGCCTCGTCTTTGCATTCCTTCTCCTGCGACCTCCTCCCACTTCCTCCACCTGTCCTTTCAGACCCCTCCCCTAACTATTCCATTTATCCCGCATCATACCTGCGTGTCCGCATTGTCGACACTTGCCCTGTCGGATCACGACCTCGTTGGGCATGTGGTTCTAAAAGGAAGTCGGTGCGTGGATGGGTGGATTAAGGGAGGTACGGGGGGGGTCTTGTATGATGGTGTCCGCAGCTTTTCAACTCTGTTTCAAAACTACCTCAGCTTGGATTCAAGAGTCCCACATGTGAGTACGTTATGAACAGACGTCTGTAGAGATTGCGAGCCTATTCGGGCAGCCTTTCTCTGCTGCGGAGAACGGACGGACCCGCTAAACGAGGTACTATTCGGTCAAGCTGTCGGCGCTTATCGTCGCCCGGGCCATGTGGTACAGCTGGCACGGGTTGCACTATTTCATGTTCGACCTTTGTTATTTCAGGCCCCCCGATCTCTCCCACTGCTCTCGGCTTCCTTCATATATCAGGGGATCGTCGATAACCGAACGTAACCGCTGCTCTAAGCATGCTGGACGAAGTCAGTACTGAGAAAGAGGGGCTTCAGCCTCACGGCTGTTTTTTCGTTTGTTTGTTCCTGAGGTTCGCGCACCCCTCTCCTTCACCTCTCCCCCCCTCCTCCGCTTCATCCTCTTCGGAAGTTGGTCCAAGGCCCCAGGGGCCCGCCACAATACGCTTGCGATGTTTTCCGCACAGTTCGATATACCTACATGTGTGCTCGTGTGCGAAAGAGCGCAGCGCAGCCTAATCCAGCAAGGCCGCGCAGGGCAATTTTGGAAATGCTGCGTGGTGCGTCAGGGGAGGAAACGAGTCAGCGCAGCCCGACGCATCAAGAGGCAGACGAGCGCAAAACCGACGAAAGCACAGCCGCGCGACGCCACGCTACGCCAAGAAGCGCGAGGAGAATCTGTCTGACATGTATCTCATTATGCAGCGCCACCAGGGCCTAGTAATGTAAGGCGCCGCGCGTGACGGCTTCACAAAGCTTCGCTGGCTGATGACGAATGGCCTAAAACTTCGCGGTGCAACGACAGCAACAATTTGTCTGAACAGCAAACCAAGTCAAAACTCAAGGCAAGGTGGCACGAAGTCGAAGCAACGCTACGCAATGCAGATGCGAACCAGCCGATACAGTGGTGGGCACTGACAGCGACGGGACTCGGCGCACTTGAGCACCAAGCAGTGCGCCTCCGTGCCCCTCTACGGCTTGAGCGCGCAAAGCAGCGTGATCCAGCGCGCGGCATTTCGAGCAGAGCAAGGCTGCGCACAGCCACGCTAAACAGTGTCAAGCACGACGCGCAATGAACGGGCACAACGCCACACGAATCACGTCCAAATTTCGGCGGCGAGCGAGGGGGGGAAGTAAGAAAGGGCGGGCCTTCTCAGAAGGCTCGGAAGCCACCCGACCTGCTGAGAAGTTTTGTAAGCTTTCCCCGAAGTTTGTAACCCCGAGGGCTCCTGAGAAGTCCCGCCGCCTCTGAGAAGGCCTTCTCCTCCTCATTTCCCCCCCTTCGCTCGCCGCCGAACGTTGGTCCGTAGCCATTTTGGCTCAGGCCATTCTGGCTCGGGCCGTGCTGGCCCAGCCAGGCCTCGCCACACCACACGGTCGCTCCGCCTTCGCCCTCCCCGGCCGCGGAGCGATGAGACTCGCCGCCGCCCTCGCGATGCTGGCTTGCAGGCTCGCTGCCCCCAGGGAGCTCACCAAGGAGACCTGGGACGACGCCGTGTCGGGGAAGACCGTCTTTGTCAAGTTCCTCTCGGCTGCGGGCGAGGGGGGGAAGCGAGGAGGGGCGGGACTTCTCAGAAGGCTCGGGAGCCCCCTGGCCTTCTGAGAAATTTTCTAAGCCTTCCCCGAATACACAAAACACTTCTCAGAAGATGCGAGGGCTTCTGAGAAGTCCCGCCGCATTCTGAGCAGGCCTTCTCCTTCTCGCTTCCCCCCCTCGCTCGCCGCCGATTCTAGCGCCGTGGTGAGGACACTGCAAGCGCATGAAGCCCGACTGGGACAAGCTGATGGCCGAGTACGAGGGCTCCTCGACGATCCTTGTCGCAGACGTAGACTGCACCACGGGCGGCAAGGAGCTCTGCGACTCCGTTGGCGTCCGGGGCTACCCCTCCATCAAAGCTGGCTCTCCCGACGATCTGCAGGATTACACGGGCGGCCGTGACTTCAACAGCCTCAAGGAGCACGCCGAAGCTCTGGGCCCATCGTGTGGCCCTGCGAACATTGACTTGTGTGACGACTGGAAGAAGAAACAGATCGAAGTGTTCACGGCATTCGGCGCCGACGAGCGCGAGGCCATTATCAAGAAGAAGGAGGCGGAGAGAGAGAAGCTTGAGGCGGACTTCAAGGCCTTCGTCGAGGGCCTCAACAAGGCGTACGAGGAGGCGAGCGCGAAGAAGGACGAGGCCGAGGAGGCCATCAAAAACAGTGGGCTGGGCCTGCTCAAGGCGGTGCACAAGTTTGCGGCGACGGCGACCACGAGTAGGTCGGAGCTGTAGTCGCCTGTCTCGCGCGGACGGCCCCGATTTGAAGTCAGGGCCCCTTGCGCGAGTGAACGGCGGACACGTTGTGTTGTGATGTTTCCCTTCGGACAGCCTACGCTATGAGCGGACCGGCTCGACCCTGCACGTTGTCCCGCGGGGCCTCGGGGGCCCCCGGCGGCGGCGCGTGAGGCCGCGAGCAGTCGCACAGGACGGTGCGCACCGTCGCGCTTTCCCCGTCTGTGCTCCTCCTCCCTCCCTTCGAATATCCCCCCTCTTCTTCTACTTCTTCTGCTGCTTCTTCTACTTCTTCTGCTTGTGCTGCTGCTTCTTCTGCTTCTCATTCTTCTTCACCCCCTCCCCCCTCCCCACGTGCGGTGCAGTCCGTGCGCGGATCTTGCGGCTGAGTCTGCCGCTTTCGCGGGGTCGCCTGGCACCTCGCCCTGTGACCAGCGGGGCCTGCGCTGATACGCTGTGTCAGCCTCCAGCAATGAAACATAACAAGTCACGGTCACATTGGGATCACCTCGAGCAAGCAGTCGAATGCCTTGGGCATGGAAGGGAAGACTGGAACGCGAACTTCAATTTGACCAAGATGACATAGGCATGAAAACTCAGCGGACCGCAACGCATACGTCCTCTCAGCACAGAACAATGTCTGGCAATGTGCCGAACTCATGCCAGGTGGGGCTTTGTTCTGCTGGGTTGGCATTGCAAGCTCCTCTCTCCTGCTCTTGCTCATGGCTCTTGTCATTCCGATATTGTTCTTGCTGCTCCTCTTCCGCCTGGACTTATCGCCTCCTCGTCGTCATGCTCCTTCTCTTCCTTCTCGCTCGTCTTTGCTCTATCGTTGCTGCTGCGCATCTCCTTCGTCATCCTCCTCGTCCTCCGTTCCCTCCTCCTGGAGCTTGCCATCCTCCACCCGCCGTCCGTAGCCATTTCGGCTCAAGTCCAGAGTCGATTCGGCTTTGGTCCTGACCTCACCGGCACGGGGAAGTGACTGCCCCAAACAATTCACACCTCGTTTGCTGGTCAGGCGAGGTTTCTCGGTGTTGTGAGCTCCTGCTGGAGCACTCCCGTTACCGCGCAACCATGTTGAACCTTTGCCATCGGTTCCTTGCACCATGGATCTCTCTCGGCTTCCTGCGGCCACCCCTCAGAGAGCTGGAATCGGTTCCGTTCACCGCGGGTCAAGAAGGGCCCCAGAGGATCCTCCTTCTCCTCCTCTTCCTCCTCCTCCTCCTCGTAAGCCCCCGAGGCCCAGATTGCAGTTTCGGGCGAGACAGACATCCCACTATGTAGAGAGTGCGGTGTTCCCCCCCGCGCCCGCACTCCAGCCCGCGGCGGGGGCCATCTTGCGGTTTCTTGGATACAATCCTATGTCAGCGGGTTTCTACCGAATGGAGGAGATTTTGGAGGAGGTGGGGAACTTTGACGCGATCGCCCTCGCAGGCACGAAGAACACGGTGAGCTCGGGCGAGTGCACGCTCAAGCGCACCATCACGTGGCGACTCGTGTACGAGGCACCGTACGGCAAGGCTCCGTTCTCGAACAATTCGTGCGGAGTTGCTGTTGTGCTTCCACATCGGGTGCAAGAGAAACATGTACTTAGACTTTGGAGTTGCCCACCAGAGGCACTTGGCAGAGCTATCGCGGTGAGGGTGAAGAAGGCAACGCTAGACATGCGTGGTGAGCGCGTACTTCCCGCCCCAGCCGACCCAACGTAAACAACGTGGCGCCTATTTCAGAACTACGGCAGTGGTGATTTCCTGGTTAAAGACTGTCCTGGACTCGTTGCCAGTCCGATGTGCCCCCCCCCTCATTTACACGGACCTCAACGACGGGAGGGGTTTGGTGAACAGAAACGGTTCTTGGTTTGAGTGTACGACGGATTCCCTGGGCTCGGCAAATCGAGAACGGCTTCCCAACGGTGCTGGTCAGCGTTTTCGGGAACTACTCGAACGCCACCATCTTTGGGCGGCCAACACGCACGGGGTCGATGTGGTTTCTACTTTCTTCGGGAACAACACGAACTCGAGGATAGACGATGTATGCTGCCCGCTTGGGATGAAACACCTGATCCGTTCTTGCTCTACGCTGATACGCTTGGGGGCGAAACTCCAACCAGTGCGTGGGCCACCGCCAAAGGATCATCTGCCCGTAGCGCTAGTTTTGTGCTATAACAAGGGCGATCAACATCAGGAGGAGGAGGGCGAGGAGAATAATATTTCTTGGGATAGAGAGGCGATGATGCAAGCTCTTAGGCATGGATCACGTCGCCTTGAATGTTTAGGGGCACTGCGTCTTGAGTTCCGGCACGTTCATATTCGCTGGTTGCGGGACCACGCTTCACCCGATGAGATTTTCGAAACCGTCGAATCCGCATTGCGTTCGGCAGGCGAGCAGGTCTTTTCAAAGGCCTCGACGACGGACCCAGAGTATCAGATGTACAGCAAATGGCGTCGCAAACTTTTGAAGGAGCGGACAGAGATCCGCAGCCAGAAGTTGGAGTGCGACGAGGCTGAGATTGAAGTTATTGATCAGCAACTCCGCGATAGCTCATCACGTATTTGTAAGTTGAGGAGACAACCTTTGAGGAGAAGGAGGGCTAGATTAGTGGAGGAGAGTTTTGAGCATTGGAAACATCGCAGAGTTGTTGAAGCTATGTCGACTGCGCGCCGTGCTGCATCGTGTCGATATGGCCCCAAGCGCAGAGACGGCCGTTAAGCATGTGCCAGCTTACCCTCAGCTCAGGCTTGGAAGGAGGTGTGGATGAGGGAGGGCAAGGACGGGGGTATGCAGTGTACTGAGATCGACTGGGGGGCGTGGAGGGAGGAGCACGATGAGGACTACCCACTCATTGAGGACGAGGAGGCGTTGGAGCTGGCGGAGGAGGACCTCTCTCAGATGCGTAGATATATCAGATCGGCTCCCAAGCGTCGAGCAGCTCCTTGTTTCTGTGCCCCGCTTGAGATCTGGCATATGCTGTATCCCAACTGGAGAAGAACACAAGTGGAAGGTCTGGGAGCCCCAAACAAAGCCCCCGACAATCGAGTTTTCTGGTACCTGGCCCTTCTTGGGCTCCAGAAGAAAGATGCGGTCCTACAAGATGATCCCGAAGTATTGGAATTGTAGTCTCGGGCCCCCCTTGCACAAAAGTCACCGACGGGGCCCGCTAGGCAAACGAGTCGTTCACATTCTTCCTGTTCCTGGTAAGGCTTACTTTGCGAACGAAGTTTCAATATCAGCCAGGCCAGGCCGACTACGGGTTCGTTCGAGAGCGGCGAAGAGAGACAGCTATTCTTGTATCCAAGACGGTGTCCTACCGCCTTCGCCGATCTCGACGAACATTCTGCATGTGCTTCAAGGATTTGAGTAATGCGCTCGCCAGCAGTTCGTGGGGGCGAATGGACGCTGCAGTTGAGGAATATGTCGCGCCCGAGGACCAGGCAGTTTGTCGCCTTCGGTACCGCGAGGCGGCTTTTGCTTTGCCTACTGGGGAGGGCGGGAGGATCACGCTCAAGACCCAGCCGGGCGGGCTCATGGGGGGCCCGTGCATAGTGCAGGCTTTCAACGGGACCTTCAGACAACCCATTGATGATTGGCGCGAGGATGTGCAGCATGACGACCCTTGCAGCAGCGAGCTAGTTTCTTCCTGGGAGGGTCACAGAGTCGGGCTAAGTTTATTGAAGTATGCTGATGACTTGCACAATTTTATTTTGGCGGATTACGGCTCGACCCTCCCTGACTTTGTGAGCAAGGTTAAGAAGCACGACATACTTTTGGATCGTGGATTGGGCCCATGTGGGTTCGGACAGAATATGGCCAAACAAGAATGTATGATGTACTTCGGGGTTCGCAGTACTTACCTAAAACGGATCCCCAGGAAGGGCGGGGTGGACCTCCAGGGCTCTATCAGGGAGCAAGTCAGGTACCTGGGGCCACACGTTGTTCTTCGGGATAGTGCGCACCATGAAATTGATAGGCGTATCAATGCAGCTTGGGTTTCATTTAGATTTCTGTGCTCTGTCTGGCAATTGGATTCGCAGTGGAAGTTTAAACGTTTACTACTTCAGGGCTTCGCCTACAACTCTCTCCTGAGCGGCCTCGAGGCATTCGTGCTGACCGCGTCCGATTACTCTCGGCTGGAGGCCGCTCTTGCTCGATTCTGTCGTATCGCGATGGCTGGAAAAGGCCTCCGACTGGTCAGGAAGTCACCCGCGCACGATGACCAATGAAGAGCTTTTGAGATTTTGGAGGCTTTCGAATCCGTCCCTGGAGTTACGTATTCGGCGAGTTCGTTTAGTTCAGAGTTGGGCCCGACGGCCTCTTCACCACCTTCAGGTACTATGTGCACTGTTCGGGGAACTTCCTAATGAACAAATGGGGCCTCTCGATGACTCGGGAGGTTTAAAAGTCCGTCTGCATGCCCCTGGGCCTTCCAGCTGCGTGCCGACCTTCAGAGCATGGCTCAGGAGCTGGACCAGGAAGTTTTTGATGAAGTCGCTCAGGACTTCAGGCTGCTGCTCGACGAGGCGACTGCCTCGTTCTTCGCAGGTGTGGATGTCTCCGCGTACAGATCGAGACAGTGCACCCTGGAGATCGCGCCCTCAGACATTGTATCGGTGCCACATGTGCCCCGTGACCTGGAAGAAGATACTCCTCCTGCCCCCCTGCCTTGGAAATGCTGGCTCCCCTCTGAGGATAACCCCGCTGAGGCTTGTGTGGCATCATTGAGTAACCGCAGGGGCCTCATGAATCGCCTCAGGGGAACTCATGGGCTCAGAAATGTATGCTATCTCATTGCGCCAACAAACATATGTGTTCACCGCTGGCAAATATTCGCATGCAAAGCAAACGCAGCCAAACGTGTAATGGAATCTATGTTCCGTGGGCATTGTCAAACTGTGGGCCCCTCGGCTTTGAAAGAGCTGATCGCCGTGACCTCCTTCCAGTGCCCCGTTTGCGAGTTCGACGGCTCGAGCTTCAACGATTTCTGTGAGCACTTGTGCACGCGCCTTCCTTTTCGGCCGCTCCCCTACGTTGCTGATGTCCGAGAACGTGCAGCCGCAGCTGCCCGTGGAGCCTCTCTTGTGGTTCAGTGCTCCGACGGCCCAGACTGCCGGCGTGAAGAGTCCAGGCGAAGGAGGCGAGGGGGGCCAGCCGTCACGCAGGCGCGCCGACAAAGAGAAGGGAGCAGGCGTGTCGAAGGCCAACGACAGGTTGACACTCTCCTTGGCTCGCGAGGTCGCGGACCTCAAGAGCGCCTTGTACCTCAGGTGCGAGATGCCCGACGCGTCGGCGGGCATGGCGGCGGCAGGCAAAGCAGAGGGGGTGAAGTGCAACAATCGCAGCGCCGAGTTGAAGAAGCTCGAGAAGGAAGGCCACTCCGTCGACCGCAAACTTCGAGGGCCCCCGCGCGTGCACGTGGCAATGGCGTGCACCTTGCACGGGTGCAGCAAGCAGTTCGCAGATGGCGCTCCACCAGACCACGTGAAGTTGCGAGACGAGATGAAGGAGTTTTACACCGACGAGATCTTCGCCAAGGGCATCACGGCGCTGAAGCTGGGCAGGGCGGCCCCGTATTTCAGGGTGCAGGTTCTCGAGGCGACGGGCGGCGAGAAGCCCGAGGCCATCATCTCCTGCCACTTCCACCGCGACCTCAATATCGGGCTCGTTCTTTCCGCCAGCTGGAGGCGCTGATGGAGTTCGAGGGCGGGATCTACCTAGCAGGCGCGGCCCCACGCGGGCCCTTGGAGCGGAAGCTAGCGGAGGAGGTCGGACCGAGGGAGAAGCAGTAGGCAGCCCCAGTAGCTTGGACACATGCATCGAATTAGAAATCGTTGATGATCCTAGGGGGGCTGACGGCCAGCTGGAGTCGCCAGTTGTCCCTCCACTCCCCACCGAGCCTCTCCAGGGTGTAACCAGTCAGCAGGCCACGCAGGGGGCCATGCGTTCCTGTTTTGTTTCTTCTAGGACCAGGGGGGCCTTTTCTGGGGGCGAACGGTTTCGTGAGCTCGTGGCCTGTGGTAGTGTGGAACCAGCGGTACTTA